GTAGGAAACCACGTGGAGGTCAACAGATGACGTGGAGACGAGGTATGAAGAACTGCACAGGACCATTAGGTAGAGTAGGTGTCTCTCGCCTTCCAGGTTGGGGTCCAAAAGACTCCACAACCGATTAGTTGGAGACGTTGAAGGATATGGCGTTCTTGTTGTCGTTTTTTATCAGGTAAGAATGCTTGAAATGGTATGTATGTAGAGTTCGACTGTGTACTCTCTATGTGTTGACCATAGTGGTTTACCTCCCCTCAAAATAGATCCAATCCCTGTCCACCTTAAATTTTATCACTAACCTTGTATGCATTGCGAGTTTGGCAGCGATCAGTGAAGTTCGCTTCACGGTATTTCGCTGTACGATTATGATGATGATGATGCATAGGTAATTAGGTAAGTCATCATTTTTATTCCGTTCTAGTCTTCCCAAGGTCACAGAATTCATCCACGAAATCAGCCTCAGGTATTCGTTTGGGACAACAAAATATACCTCATAGCCACGAGGCAAATTTAAACAATCGCAACGGACAGTGGTTAAGGTCAACAGGTAAAATATTATCAGGATGATTTAGCAACATCAGGTTAACGAAGGGATCGTGTAATAATTGCAAAAATAACGACGGTTACGCCACTAACAATCTGGTGACGTAACCTCCTTTGTGATCAACCACTCATTCACCTGTCCCCCCTCCCCCTCATTTCACAACCACTGTCTCTCACTTCCACGCACACACACAAACATACACACTCACGAAGATCAATTATCACAAGTCCATCATCTCTCGTTAAACTCTAATGTCCTTCGCAGATATTTGTCTCCTCTCCCCATGTTTTAATCTGTTGTAAATTATACTGTATTTAGCCAGTTAAGTTTGCAGTGAAAACGAGCTTGTTTGCTGTTCTCATGACTACTCAAACGGGAATGCTTTCACAGCTGAACCCAATATATTCCATTCTTACCGATTAAGTTACGTAAAATATTGGAACGTAAAGCGTGGCCCCTGTTAAACCACTTAGAAATCCTAGCAATACGTAGTATCACTACATTTGTAGTATGTATTTACATAAAGTTCCTTATAAGCAAATCAAAAGACCCTATCAGAAAATTTGCCGTTTACAACACGTACTAATATTCTGTTCGTGAAATGACGGTTGATTCATCGTGGTCACGTATTTCAATTGTGCTCCAGTCGCTCGAACCTATCTCATTGCTTTAAAGACAAACCACAAGAGGACTTCTTTTGTATACACTTTAGTGATAGCTCGCAAGTATGTGCAGCACCGCGATTGAACTATAAATAAATTAACGATACTACTTGAGTTCACGTACGATGATTAGATCATTAAGATGTACGATAAGTAATACATGGAGGATAAGCAAACGAGAAAACAATCGATTTCTCACCTTATCGAACTCGTCAATGAGGCACACTCCACGATCAGCTAGCACAAGAGCACCGGCTTCCAAAGTCCATTCACGAGAAATGGGACTACGAGTCACGTACGCCGTTAGACCGACAGCACTAGCTCCCTGACCGGTCGTAAACACGCTACGGGGGGCCAATTGCTCCACGCTTTTGAGGAACTGCGATTTGGCAGTACCCGGGTCACCGCATAATAGAACATTGATATCCCCACGAACTTTGTGCTTTCCACCTTACGAAGAACACGGACACGAAAACGACACAAAACGTTTACAAAAACGGGAAGGGGGAGGCAGGCGATCGCCATGAAAGGAGTACAACAAACCCCCAACACTGGCAGAACTTTACTGCATGTAACTATAATTTGCGGTACAATTTGGGTGTAAATGCGAAAGTACTGAACGGCTCAGCGAGATACCGGCAGCAAAACTTGCAGAGACTAGCCAAAAACCCGTTCTAGTTAATCACTGAAAAATAGACCAGGTTGATGAAAAAGTAAAACTTACAACCACTCGCCAGTTGTCTTGCTCAGCCTGTCTAAGAAACCCCGTTGTCAGGTTAACCAACGATTGCGTATGAAAAAAATTCGGCCGTTTCGTCACGGTTTATCTAGCCCCTACATTTATAGGTGGTATTACAGCAAAGCTATCGTTCAACGTACCGATGAACACGTAAGATTATGCAGGCTCCCACCGCATTGATTTCGAAACGGAAGCTTGTCCAAGCTTTGTTAAATAGGTGAAAAATTTCTCAAAAACCCAAAACGTTAAGGGAACCGAAAAGAAAATAACCTGGCCACAGACCCGCAGAGATATCACCGTCGAACAAAAAACTTTGTCAATTACTGCCACATTTGTAGTCAGTCAGGAAAACCAGCAACTCAAGTCGAGTAATGAACCACACAATGATACACTCAGGTGGCAGCGATCAGTGAAGCTCGCATCACTGTATCTCGCTGTACGATGATGATGATAACACTCAGATAAGGCGTGTTATGACATGACAAGATCACTGCTCCCGGGGTGCTGTGAACAGAGAATGCAGTCAGATAGTTGAAAACTAAACACGCCCAGTGAATGCACTGAAAACTAACGTTAGCTCTATCATTATTGATGATATATATGAACTATACTAATATGTAATATAACTGTCGGTTTTAGTGCACATTCTTTGGACGTTGACTCACATTAACCCAACCTTTTGTGAGTAGTGATGTAAGGACATCATTTTACATACGAATGACGTGAAGCGAAAAGCGTGCTACTTTGCACCGGAACTGAATAAACATTGTGGTCATTATACTCGCATTCCTCCGATAGCGTAAGCCTCTTCGGCGAGCTAAACAGGTCTATCGAAACCAGAAGCAGTGTTCGTCAAGGGTACCCTACTTCGCCATTGGCAAAACACCGGAGAACGCACTAAGTGGTTTCAAAATGTTGGTATTGAATGGGTAACTGCGGAAAAGCTGTGATTTAGAGTGCGCTATGATGCATGGAATACGCTTGAAGTACACTTGAAACTAACAACTTCCGTTTTTTACTCGGAGTGCTTTGCATCTTCAAAGTGCAAAGCGATGTTGCATGATTGTATCGAGTAAACCTACTTTGCAGGTAGATGTTCAGGAATTGGCTGAGGTTGACTGCTCTTCTTAATTAGGCAGTTACGTGACCAACAATAGTAATACAATAAAGGGGATAACTGCACGTGTTTCCAAGGCTGGAGAAACGGGACTGAAGCACCTGTGGAGATGATGTGACTATTCACCATAGATGAAGCCTCAATTGCTGAGCTACCGCTTGGTCGGTTTCGCTTCACGATTGAGACCTGGAATTTGCGAGGCATAAACCAAAGGTAGTTGGTAATCGATGCATATGTATTTTGGCGAAGGGTGGGTGGAATGAATGAGTCAGTAACCTAGATGTATATATGTGCTTGGGAACTTACCAGGGATAAATTCGATAGCACATCAAAGTCAAGTTAGTACGCTTTCCCGGTTAGGACACATAACTAACAGTCGTCTGCCGCAACTGGCTCATTCGCTATTATCGCTACCGGTTGGAGGAAACCACATAAAAGTTAACAGATGACGTGAAGAAGAGGCATGAAGAAATGCACAGAGCAATTGGTAGGGTAGTTATATCCCGTCTCTCGGGCTGGGGTGCAGAAGACGGCGTAACTGGTTAGTTGAAGACGCTTAAGGACATGGTAGCGAGCAGCGACTTTTTTTGTCATTTCTCATCTGGTCCCAATGCTTGAAAAGGTGGGTGTACATGGTGAGATTGGGGACTCTAACTCTGGGTGTTGATTAGGGATTTGCATTCTTTCTAGTTCCCTAAAAACAGTCCTAATCCGTAAGGTAGACACCTTATACATTCTTAATTACCTTGTACATATTGTGCGTTTAGCAGTGACCAGCAAAGTTCACTTCGCTGTAACGCGCTGTGCAATGAAGTTGCTACCCCTTAATGAAACATCCCGCTCCCAGTCCCTACCTGACATTTGCTTTAAAAATCGATTCTATAAGATGACATTCGTCTTCGGTATCTCGTAAAAAGAAGAAACTGTGCGGCAATTAAAAGGAGAGCACTCCGATCCGAGCACAAGTATATCGACGGGAAGTCCATAGATCAACTCGGGAACCCACCGTTCTCAGAATAATTAGCCAAAGAAAAGGTGATTGTCATTTACGCATTGTAACAATTAACACCAAGGCAGACATCATTAACTATACACCTTCAACCGAAACAATGTTTGGCACAAATTAAACTAAGCCTACCTGGATTTTTTGGTTCGCCACCGAACAGTGCTAGAGCAATGCCCCGCTTGATATCATCATGTCCGTAGACACTCGGAGCAATACTCGCAAAAATGCGATCAGCAATGCGTTCGTCACGCGACATCTTGAGGATAGCGCGGATATCTTCATCCGTCAACGTCGCCACGTTTACCTGAACAGTCGAACCAGATATTGAACACATGAACGTACCTTATCATCTTTTCGCAGGATATTGTTTGCTATAATCACTGTAGCGAAAACAGGGAAGCCTTGTTGCGTATTCAGGGATCCATCATAGCTGTGAGTATAAATACCAGTGAGCTCCTGCGAGAGTGAGTGTGATTTAAAATAGCTTACTATTTCATCCCCGGGTTTACATCCATCGACTAAGTCGTCCAAAAGAATAGCATCTTTTGAACGAGGAAGCCGACCAGGTGGGACCTTGCCTGGACTTTCTTGAAGCGTAATTCGTTGATAGTTTTTGAAGATTGTCTACAAATAAAAATTATTATTATGCGTATGATATTAATTATGGTGAAACATTTGAACGGCAGTCACGAGAAGCGGTAGTACGTGAAAATTCACAGTACCATGGAGACTCCTTTGATCCTTAAATGACGAAACGTTAGCTTCTTGTAAATGCAAAAAACGAAACGACGGATGTTTATAGCTTTAGTCAGACATCGACCTTATTCCTACAAGGAGTTAACGTTGAAACGAACTAAAAGTGGTCACCCTATGCTTACAACTGTGTAAAGAAAATTAGTGGATCACCTTTTCAACTTTGAAGACTTAGGCAGTTAAACACCAAAGAAAAATCACTTCATTTTTATTTATCAATGTTTTTCTGATTCTTCCCCGGTACCTTTTGACGGACCACTTAAGAAAGACTTCTTCGTCACGGCTTGTCGATTATCAGTCGTGTATCTTTTATACCCATTGATGATCTAAAAAAATGTGTGATCTACACTTGTCCGCATGTGCAACATTTGCACAGAAAATCCTCTGACCCCACTCATCTTTTACATGGCGATCTATCCTAATGTCGCTCACATTCATCCACCCGTTCGTTTATTACCCTCTAGCACTAACCTCTACAGAAATTCTACCTTACCCTATCTCGCTTGAATCCTTGCAAATCGACAGTGCTTCCTCTGAATTTCTCAACAACCTTGGAGGTTCAATGCCTTGCTCGCATTACTTCTTTCTTTCGATGAGGCGATGTGTAATCCTTGACTGAAATGCGGACGTCTGTCCACGAAAGTCTATAAAAATACAAATAACCAGGCAATAGGTCAAGTAAGCAAACCAACACATCATATGATCGATCTACCGATTCCCGTTATTTATATTATGTAACGGCCACTAGATAATCTCTAACGATTTCTTATGAGCATCAACGGAGTAATATGCTTTGGGTTTGCTTGGTATCCTATAATGCTGATCAATCGATTAGCGCCTATCTCTGGTGTGCTCCGAAAAACTTCAACATCATCTTGCGGTAAAATACAGTGATGCGTATTTGATTGATTGCCGAAGTACAAATGAGTCAGGTGAATGAGGGGTGGTACGGGACCCGTTTTGATGGAAGTATAGGGAAGATGAACCTCTATGGTCGACACAGCTGTCTAATTACGCACACACCGCTGTTCAAAAGACCGACACATTACCTTCATTGAACAGCGTGATACAGGGAAGCGAACTTCAATGATCGCTGCTAAAGTCATAATGCGTACAAGATAAAANATAATGCGTACAAGATAAAAGAGAATGTGTAACGAAAGAAATTGGGCTTATTTTGCAGGGGGAAAGTGAACCTCCGCGGTCAACACAGTGTAAAATCCAAAGGTGGGTGGTGGTGGGTGCAGTGGTTTGGTTGCTGTCACCAGTATGCTTTGGACGCTATGGTCCGAGCTTAACAACCGCCACCCAACTTTTGCTGTCGCTCGGTTCAATATTACGCCTAAGGTATCGTGGTCTTGTGTGGTTCGCCACCTTAAGTCCCGGGACTTAGCTTACCGCTTTCCATCAATGAACAGCAGGTCCTTGTGACTATGGGGTTGACCCCGACTGCCGTTCATCACACTAAAAAAGTGTGCAGTAAAAAAATAAATGCATTTTGCACCATCGCATTGCAATTTGAAGATGCAAAGCAAATGCCGAATAGAACGGAAGTTGTCAGTCTGTCAAGTGTACTGCAAACGTATTCCATACACTATAGCTAACAAACGACCTCGCCAGCGCACTCTAAATTACAGAGCTTTTCCGCAGTTACCCATTCAATACCAACATTTTGAAACCACTTAGTGCGTTCTCCGGTGTTTTGCCAATGGCGAAGTAGGGTACCCTTGACGAACACTGCTTCTGGTTTCGATAGACCTGTTTAGCTCGCCGAAGAGGCTTACGCTATCGGAGGAATGCGAGTATAATGACCACAATGTTTATTCAGTTCCGGTGCGAAGTAGCACGCTTTTCGCTTCACGTCATTCGTATGTAAAATGATGTCCTTACATCACTACTCACAAAAGGTTGGGTTAATGTGAATCAACGTCCAAAGAATGTGCACTAAAACCGATAGTTATATTTCATAATAGTAACATATTCCCAAAGCACCTCAGTTCAGACTGTGAAAAACAAGTCATGAGACAATAATCTTTCTAAAAAGTAACAGTCTCGTGGGGCGAGTCATATGGTGTCAGAGTTACGTCTACAATGGAAATCGACCTATGAGAAAAACATTCTTACCCTCTAGTAGGCCTCCATTATTTTGTCCGCTGGAACTACTAGCATTCGGTTATACAAGTAGCTGTCGAACAACCCTCATGCCAATGATCTATGTGCATACATGTCACCCGTTTTATAACAGGCATGGCGCGAACGAAACAACCATGAAAATACAAATGTAGAGAGCATGTGCGGGCGAGTGGTGCAAAAATGAGAAAAACAGGAAGAATGGACATATGTATAACATTTTCTCAGCTTCACCGTATACACTGTTTTTTGTTTATTGTGGGGATAGAGTTTCAGAAAACAAACGAAACAGGCAGCCAAAAGATGGCATACAAAATCAACGCATGGTGCTCAGCCGATGGTTGTTCGAACTGAAACTCCAGTTATTGGCAGTCCAATTGAAGCCGACGAAGCTCACTATGTCATACTTTTACGACACGTCATGATCTGACCATCGCGATACCTCCAATCCTACCCGCGTGAAAACAGCACAGAGGGGCAGACGACGGTCAGGCATACGCAATACAACCGAACCAACGCAGATGATGTAGAACGATTACTCCTGGGCACCCGTTTTGGTGCTGCGTTATCAGTGACAACTTTAATTCATCAAGAACTGTGATGAACTTAACAGTGAGCCACCAATGATAAAAAGGCTATTCGGAAATGTGACCAAGCGATGTGCTCATTGAGAAGAATACCATGACATCTAACAGAATCAAGTAACTAAAATGACGGCACCAATTTGCACGAGTCTTAGCTTTAACAGATTAGCCTGAAAATTATGTGAAAGGAAACAGTGAACACAACACTTACCTGTTCCATGTTCAGTTCAAAGGGCCCGTTCGACTGACAATCCGGACAAGTGGATGGACGGACCTCAGAACCGAGTTGTCCTTGGACAAACGGACCCAACAAACAGTTACATTTTGTACAGTTGTAACGGACGACACTGAGCTGAGGAAGCACACTTGAGCTACTAGTGACCACACCACTTGTTCTCACTAGCTGATGTAGATGTAGGTGACGTAGTGAGCGAAGATCTTCAATTAAAGGTAGGTCGTTTATGCGGACATGTACACGATTAGAAATGCGGTCGTAGCGAGGAAATCGGGCCAATGTTACTTCGCGAGCAGCCTGAAACGGTTATCGAAAAAAGAGCACACAAACCTCATCGAAGATCTCCAACACATATTGGGGTGCTTCCGGAAGGAAGTAGGCGAGGACTTGCTCGGCGGAAGCCAAGTGCTGATAGTCAACATGCAGACTTTGCTTATTTTCTCTTGCCATTTGCATTATCCGTTCCGCGTAAACATTACGGTCATTTTCGTCAAGGAACGTTCGCAGAAACGCTCTGAACCGATTTTTGATTTCTTGCCGAGTTGCCGGCTGCTGAACCCACTCAATGACCGACATTCCTTTCATATCCTCCAAATTTTCTATGCTCTCAAGAGCAGCTTCTGGTTCCTCAAATTCAGGGCCCATGCCAGCAGCGGCCCGCTCAGCAAGCCTACGACGACGAACGGGAACAATCTCCTCTTCCTCATCCGGCCCGTATAAATCTTATGGAATGAACCGACGGAAGAACCAAACTTACCCGCAATAAGACCCCGACGGAGCCCACCAGTTGCGAGTGCTTGCTCTCGATCACGTTGCCTCATTTCACGCTCAGCTTCGGCTCGAGCGGTTGGTGACAATTCTTCCAAGTCCTCATCAGGGGGAGCCAGAAGCTCCTCATCGTACACATCGAGTTCAGGAATAGGCCTGATAAATAAAACATACAGAACAATTCACGAACCGATAGTCTCTTTCCATGTCGTCACCAAAAAGATTTTCACCACTTTCATCTTCTTCGTCAGCAATG